TTCCAGAACCATGCCAAACAGCGATGGGAAGTTCTACCCATCGCTGTTAAAGCCTTGGTGCAACATTACCACAAGGCAGAATGCCCTTACCCAGCGATGGGAAGCTTTACCCATCGATGGGAACCCAGCGATGGGAAGGCTTAACCATCGATGGTTAGGCATGACCGTTGCGAGTCATTTAAGGCTGATTCTTTCCTTATTTGAAAGTCAACCTCCCACCCAGCGATGGGAAGCATCTACCCATCGATGGGTAGGTAACCGTTGGCTTCAAAACTGAAGGAAAATTGGCTTACCAGCGATGGGTAAGTTCCAAACATCGATGGGAAGCCTATATCCTGCAGATCCCAAATTTATTCAATCCCATAAATCAAGCCAATCACCCCTTTAATGCGTTGGTCCGTTGGAGCCTATTTTGGCACTATAAAAAGGGGTGTTTGGGTCTGCTTTTCTCATCAATTCACTTCACTTTATTCATATTATCATTGCATCCAATCAACATTATTTTCCATAGCTTTCTAGAGCCAATTTGTGAAGTTTGAGTTGTTCTTGAGCGTATATAGTTTACTCAACATCTACTCTTAAAGAGAGTCTTGTTCTTGAGTGTTCTTAGTGTTGTAAACACGTTAAGGGAAGCTTGTTTCCCTTGGTTGTACGAAGGAAAGGTATTTTCCTTCGGGTTGAAGTCTTGGAGTGCGGTATCTCCGAGCAAGTGTATTCAGGCTCGTGGGACTCGAGTTCTCAGGTTGTAACGGTTTGTTAAGCACCTGTAAGCTTAACGGAAGTAGTGTAGCTCGAGAGAGTCTCTCGGGAGGCTGGATTAGCCACAAGTTGTGGTGAACCAGGGTAAATCTTGGTGTGCTCCCTTTACTCATTTTTATTCCGCTCTTTACTTTATCACTGCGATTTTTATTCCGCGAAAATTTATAAACATTCTCGTGCCTCACTATTCACCCCCCCTCTAGTGAAGGGCACTTATTCTAACAGCCCTTTGCTGCCCAAAAGAGGAAGGAGGTCTGGGTTTCACTAACCTTGAAACCTTACAGGAAGCATATGGTCTTAAGATGTTGTGGAGCTATACTCTCAATAACTCCCTCCGGGCCAGGTTTATGAACAACAGATACCCAGCAGGTCTTGAGACAACTTGCAAACCAACTGATTCTCCTAATTGGAAGAGACTCCTTTCAGCAAAAACCATTGTTGATTCCTATGAGAATAACCCCTTCTAGGACACCCACTCTGGTTTTATTATCAGGAAAGCCTATGAAGCTCTAAGAGAGAAATCCCCCACAGAAACATTCCTAAAATCTGTGTGGCATAAAAAACAGATCCCATCTATTTCTATCTTCCTTTGGAAAATCTACTACAACATCCTCCCTTTCCCTAAAAAACTCACCCGGTTTGGGCAAAACCTTCCTTCTATGTGTCTTTTTTGCAGGAACAATAAAGCAATGCGAACCACACACTCAAGGATTGCAGATTCAGTAAAAATATCTGGGCACACTTTAAATCTAGTTTCAAGGTCACGACAACTACAACACATGGAATTTGCTCTTACCTGTCGCTCTGGTGGAGGAGCAATAGTATTGACCAGCAAAGTCAAGCAGAACGCAAGGTGATTCCAGGGATCATAGCGCACGAAATCTGGAAGGAGACCGAAACCCAAATCATCCATATGATCTGGAAAAAGTTGCTGGAATGGACAATTGTAAAAGGAAAGAGTAGAATCAGCGTCACTCACTCGTCTATCCCACCATTCATTTCATTACTGGCAATTCACACCTTCCCCTGGACAAGCGCAAGGGAAGGGATGATACTTAGTACAGATGTTGCGGTGAAAGATGATATTATGTGTGGCGGAGCAATCCTACGCACAGGCACAGGAAGATTCATTGGAGCAAAGTTAGCAATAATCCAAGGAACAGAAAACAGTGAAGAAGGAGAATTGGCTTCTGCACTAATGGGCCTCAAATGGGCTGTTAGTATCACAACACAACCCATCAACATCCACTTAGACGCAAAAAATGCGGTGAAACGAATCACGGAGAATAAACAGGAGGACCTTTTTAGTAACGAGATTCATCAGCTGCTGGCAAAAAATAGAGGTCTAGCAAGACATATTTTCAAAGAGGAAAATACGGCAGCTCACTCTCTCGCACGTTACACTCTCACAAATAACTTGTTTCGATCATTCAATGTATTAGCACAGTTACCTCCATCTGTTAGAGGGGCGATCTATAGTGGGCTATCTATCTCGGGTGTTAACGGGCCCCGGGATAGTCACGAGGTTAACGGGCCTCGGGCCCCGGGGTAGTCACGAGGTTAACGAGCCTCGGGCCCCCTGCTTGTAACCGACCGTTCATTATATTAAAATTTTTTTTTTAAATATATATATATATATATATATATATATATATATATATATATATATATATATATATTTGTTTCTAGTTTTGACCCTGAGCGAAAGTCACATAATTTGTTTAGGATAACTTGGTAAAATTTCATAATTTTTGGACCAGGTTAATTTGTTTAGGATGACTTGGTAAAATTTCCAGTCTTTGTGAATTTTAGAAAATATTACTTCCATAGTATTTTTTTTAAAACTGTCTGGGGTGAGCGCGAGTCACCCTGTGTATGTATATCTTTATTGCCTATGTGGATGTATGATATGCATGGTGAATGATTGTGGCTATAGTTTATTTGATTATAAAACGGCCTGCGTATCGTGCCTTATCTCTTAAACTATTGTTGTAAATCTATTTCTCTCTCTTACCTCAACCGAGGATTCTTTTCTCACGTGGTGGTTAGAAGATAAAAAGATTTGAAGTCCGTTCGAGGGAATCTAAAGGAATGGAGATAGCCCGAAGTCCAAGTGCCTAGAAGTTAGTGGTAGCTATCGTTTTATTTTCCTTTAGGGGCCACTGTTGGTCTTATGGGGGACCATCGATCACCCTTAGGGATTCGCTACTGTGCTAGTCACGGTATCGGGTACTGACAGCCCAACCTGACGAGGGACACGAGTCGTGTATCTTGCGAAGCCCTTCCTGTCCATCCACCGCTCAGTAGTGGGGCTTCGCACTGCCGTAGTGAACTATAGGGGGTGCCCTATAGGAATCTACCTTCGCTTGGGGCTACAGAGAGATGTGGTTAAATACAAAGTGTCCACCTTCCTATCACCAATTAGTTTTAGGAAGCATTTGGCACCTCTTTAACTTCAGAACTTTGTAGTTAAGCGTGCTGGAACGGGAGTAGTCCCAGGATGGGTGACCCACTGGGAAGTTCCAAAAAACAATCCTACAAGTGGTATCGGAGCGAGGAAGCAGGCTCGAATCCCCCGGTGTCGCTGGGGGGGGAGATTGTTGGTCTTATGGGGGACCATTGATCACCCTTAGGGA